GCCCTGAAGTACAAGGTTTTATATCCATTGTGACACCTACTAGTATCGTTTTATCTGCATATTCTCATAATAAGTGTAAATATATTTTCTGTCTTTGTCTTTCTAGATAGATGCTTCCCTGACAGCATAAGAGAAGGACTACCACAGTCTAATTTTGCACTGCATGAGGAGGATTTATTTTATATCTGTTTGGAATTTCCTGGTTTTATAAATATCTAATCTTTGTGTTATGCAACAGGTAGAACAAAATACCTTGTCTTCCACTTCTTGATATCTCCTCAGAGCTTGAGGCCTAGAATGTAGAGTACTTCTTTTTTTTTTTTTTTCAATTAGAAACTTCCCTGGGCAGTCTATTTTCCAAGTTTGTTTTCCTTGAATGGCCGGGATGCTGTGCCTGTAGTATTGCAAGTCGTTACAGTCATTATAAACCAATATTTTCTTATAAGATTATTAAAAAACACGATGACTATATTACTACTGATAATCAGAAACCTCCTTCTCATAATAATATATTATTATTCACAGGATGCTTTATCTAGGGAGGAAAAAAAATCCCATCACACTTTTATTTAGCATCTCTGTGATTCATTCATTAGGGGGCACTGCACGACTGTAGAAGAATCACTGGGATTTGCAGAGTAACCTGGATATGTTTCCAGTGATACCATTTCCCTTTCTATAACCTCCTCTTCCAAACTGCCTGGAGTCAATGTAAGATGAAAGCCATCGCTGAAGTTTAAGCTCAGTTCTAAGACTCTTTTTTGGTAGCAGTTTTGGTAATTATACAATGCTAGAATATAAACTTTCAAAATCTTTTCCTGTGTGCAGACCAGTATCTTCATAGTGGTTCACAGCCCTCTCTGATTTGCCGTTTGTGTTGGTCTTACACTCAAGACAGCGCATATTTCAACACACTACTCGCTAAATGTTAAACCTGCAGCGTAATTACACTCACTGGACTTTGATTTTGTTTGTATATACAGTTGGAAATATGGATTACTTCCAATAGATCCTGATGGGGATGTGTTAGTCTTAAGCAATTGCTTTCTCTCCAGCACTGTGTGTAAACATGTATTTTGCTCTTAGACATGGACTTTTCTGTGATGAATACCAACATTTTTGCAACTGGTCAGGAATTGGTATAAAAAGCAATCTGTAAACTCAACACAGGAGCAGAATGCTTTGCAGCAACCAATGTTAATCTGTACCAGTATGTTTCTGAAGAGAATGTACAGGGAGTAATTTTTTTTTGCAGGTATTTGAATTGATAAGGTGCTACACTGAGAAAATTCCTGATTACTTTATAGGGGTTCATTTTTCTCTTTGTTTGGTTTAGCACTCCCCTTGTACACATTAACCTACATTTGCACAGATTTCTTTTGAGGTTTTTCCAAATTTCAAAACCTTTCTTCTTTAGGGGTATGGGCCATTTTTGTTCTGTTTTAGTCTGTCTTCTGTGGTACCCCTACAAGCAAATGGCAAAATATTGTAGGATCTAATAAGGCTTGTTTTTCAAGGAGACCAGGCTGAAACAGTCTTGTCCACTGTTGAAGTGTAGCTGTCCAGAAATGATAGGAAGTCCAGACAGACTCTTTTGATGGAAGTTGGCAAAGAGGCAGCGCGCAAGGACTTCTGCCAGCAGTGCTGCTCCTCCCTCATTTGTCTGAAGTCCTGTCTGAATGTAGGTGAACTGCACAACTGAAGCATAGGGAAGATGAAACCTCTGTGTTAAATCTAGAGAGCAGAGGAATATGAGGAGGGGGTAGTCTGTTCCTTCTTGGAGTGCTGTGTTCTTCCTGAGACCTTTTGAGAAGCAATGCCTGTTGTGGTGCATTGTCAACCCTATTTCAGACGTTGTCCCATGAGTAGGCACTCATGCCTAATGCTGCTTAGGTCAAGAGTGTGACAGATTATGCTACATGAACCAAAGCTGCCTAGAAATAAACCTTGTGGTCACCCTTATGGCTGAAAACACAAATAAAGTAGTCTTTGGCATTGACAGCTCTTGCACTGAATAATTAACTCTGGTCAGGGAAAAAATTAATGCTCTTCTGTGACCCATTCAAATGTCAAACTTCAATATGTTGTATTCAGTTGGATTTGAGAGGACAATACTTAACATTTCACACTGGAAGCAAACAATGTGATTGTACTGTTTCCAAGGGGGTGTGTGTTATTCTGGTCCATGCCAACCTGTCACTTCACTTTTACCACCTCTGTCAAAACAAATCTTTCAGTTGTGTGGATCCAGTTCTTGATGTGTAATAGTCTGAAACGCTTGTCTTTTAATAATCCTGTCAATAATGGTTCTCTCAGTTTTATGTGTAAACCACAGCTGTATCATTTTTTTCACTGACTATAGTGTGAAATATTTTAATGCTTAAGTGAAGATTTAAGACAAAAATCTTAAACATCTTAGGATAAAAACATGGCAGATTGTGTTTTATAAAACTGTCACAGTGATAGTTAGGCGCAAATACTAGTATTAACCTTTCACATCCAGTTTTAGTTTATAACTTTATTATATTTTTGTCCTTTAAAAAAAAAGAAGTTGAGTTAGTGTGTGAAGGTGTTAATGTAGCTGTGTGCTCCAGTGGACACTCATGTACCATGATTTTGCAAGACCAACCATATTCTGGGCTGCATCACCAGCAGCGTGGCCAGCAAGTCCAGGGGGAGGATTCTCCTCCTCTACTCGGCTCTGCTGAGACCCCACCTGCAGTACTGCCTCCAGGTCTGGGGCCCCCAACATCAGAAGGACATGGACCTACTTGAGCCAGTCCAGAGGAGGCCACAGAAATGATCAGAGGGATGGAGCAGCTCTGCTGTGAGGACAGGCTGAGGGAGTTGGGGTTGTTCAGCCTGGAGAAGAGAAGGCTCCAGGGAGACCTTATTGCAGCCTTCAATACTTGAAGGGGACCTATAAGAAAGATGGGGACAGACTTTTTAGCAGGGCCTGTAGTGATTGGACAAGGGGAAATGGTTTTAAACTAAAAGATGGGAGATTCAGACTAGATGCAAAGAAGAAATTTTTCAGTCTGAGGGTGGTGAAACCCTGGCCCAGGTTGCCCAGAGAGGTGGTAGAAGCCCCATCCCTGGAAACATTCAAGGTCAGGTTGGACGGGGCTGTGAGCAACCTGATGTGGTTGAAGATGTCCCTGCTCACTGCAGGGGGTTGAACTAGATGCCCTTGAAAGGTCCCTTCCAACCCAAACCAGTCTGTGATTCTATAAGCTGACCATGGTTAGATACATGATGACCAGCCAAGCAACCTCTCCACAGAGGAAGAACACTTACTTCTCCCTACCAGCCGTCTGGTTATTGTTTTCCACCTGTGATTTTTGCATGAGAAAAAATGTCAATCCTGCTGGACAATAAACTGAACTCAAGCCAGCAGAACACCCTTGCGGCACCAAGGCCTGTACTGGCAAGTGTGTAGCCATCAGGTTGAGGGAAGCGGCAGTGCCTACCTGTTCAGTGCCAGCAAGGCTGCATCAGGAGAAGCATATACAGCTTGTCCTTCCTGTTGATGCACTGAAACAAGACCACTGGAAGGGCTTGTCAAGATAACATGAAGAATGGAGCATGTGATGGAGGAGAAGCTGGGGGAGTGGGTTTATTTGTTCTAGAGAAATAGAGACTAAGCAGGGGAAACCTTCTTGCTGTCTTTGACTGTGTGATGGGGTGGGAAAGACAGAGAAATACTTCTCACCCCTGCATACTGCTTCAACATATTCCACTATGAAAAGTCAATAAGGGAAATCCTGATAAACTATTAGGGAAAAAAAAAAATCACTGAGAGATTTCAGATGTTGGAACCGATTATCCAGAAAGCTTTTGGCCTCTCCATACAGAGAACAATTCAAAACTCAACATGACCCTAGGCAACCTGATCTATGTCAGACTGCAATTGATGGAGGTTGTATAAAATAATCTCAAAGATCCCTTCCAACGTGAACTACTGATTAGACTTGTTGGTGAGGGGAGAGCCCTTGTAATCTTCTATTTGTAATTGCGATGGAGTTTGGCTTAGTTTTTGGTCTAGCTTGCCTGTTCCAGGAGTGTTTATGCTTACGACAAAGACAGACATGAAGGTGCTGCTGGAGCGTGTCCAAAGAAGGGCAGCAAAGCTGGTGAAACTGGAGCCCAAGTCTGATGAGGGGCGGCTGAGGGAACTGGGGTTGTTGAGCCTGGAGAAAAGGAGGCTGAGGGGAGACCTTCTCCCTCTCTACAGCTACCTGAAAGGAGGGTGTAGAGAGGTGGGAATTGATTTATTCTCCCCAGTAACAAGCGATAGGACAAGAGGAAATGACCTCAAGTTGTACCAAAGGAGGGTTAGATTAGAAATTGGGAAAAATTTCTTCACCAAAAGGGTTGTCAAGCATTGGAACAGGCTGCCCAGGGCCGTGGTGGAGTCATCATGCCTGGAGGCATTAAAAAGACGGGTAGATGTGGTGCTTAGGGACATGGTTTAGTGGTGGAGCTGGCAGTGTTAGGTTTTTGTTTGGACTTGATGATCTCAAAGGTCTTTTCCAACCGAAACAATTCTATACTGTTACAAATGTACAGACATCTCGCAGGTGTGATCTTGTGCTGTAAAATGACCCGTATGGGGATCTCCTTTCTCGCTTGTTCCTCTTAAGGTTTAACAGCTCCACTTAGGTGGTGTTGTTAAGGTGAAGGTTTAACACTTCTGGTTTTGGAGATATAAGGTCAATCAAACTAGTTTTGAGGTAAATAGCGTGTGCCGGACGGAGTGCATCTGTATCTGGGGTACTAGTGACTGTTGCTCTCGTTTTACTGAGATTCAGCTCTTAGCAGACAGTTCTCTCTCTCACCTGTGTCAGTAATGAACCTGGTTATTTAATTAACGTTACTAACAAGCAGGAACATGCAAAATCAGCAGATGGTTGGATTTCTTCTTCCTAGGTCAGACTCCTAGATTTATGAATACCAAAACGATTGTAACGCTTTTTGTATTTGACTTTCAATGTTCACAGCAATTGGAAGAAAAAAGTGAGGATGAAGAGGATAAAGAGTGCTTAAAGCAAGCAATAACTGCCCTGCTAAATCTTCAAAGCAGCATGGAACGGATATGCTCCAAAAGTCTTGCAAAACGAAGGCTTAGGTAAACATGTTTCCATTTTTCCTGCTTTCTGCTCTTAATGCTTTGCTATAAATCCAGGGCTCCCAGTTTCCTCTTTTAGTAAACAATGAACAAAATAGTTTGTGACAAGCCTGCTTTTTCAGAGGAAGTGACATCAAAGCCAAGATAATTTGTTATTGTTTTAAAACCGTTCTAATTTCTATGTGTCCTTGCATACTGGTAGTTGAGACGTTCTGAGAATTCACTGGTAAGTAGAAAGTTATGGCATTTGTGAGTTAATTCTGCTCAGATAGTAAATATCCACCTAAAAATATTGTAAAAGTGCATTTCTGTGTGATTAGAAGGGAGTGTTCTTGAATTTGAAATTACTTTATCTGAAGAGCTTTGTGTGCAATGGCTAGTTAAAGTTACCACTGGATAACAGAAATAGATGCATAGATAACTAGTACTTGTTATAGATGCAGTTATTTTAACATGTGAAAACTTTGCTTTTGCTCTTAAAATTGTTTCCATATTTTTTTTGCCGAACAAGTTCTGTGTTGCAAAGTGTAATTTTTAGGCTTGTGGACACGAATGCATTTAACAAGTTATTTTCTCTGAATGTGCTTCTTTCAAACTGATGCAGTTTCGAATTGTTTGTCAGCTATGGAAATGAGTGTTTTGTTGGGCTCAGCAGCACTAATAACTTGCCTACTTCTGGTTGCCTGTGTTTAGGTAAAACATTTATTGTGTAGAAGATAAGTAGAAAAGTTATCAGATGAGGTACTTGAGAGAAACATTAGTCAAGGCTTGCAATGGAGCTGATACCGAGTGCTGAAATTGCATTCTCAGTGGAATTCTCACCCCTCAGAAAGATGATCTTGTGTTTTTGCTGTTAGTGGTGGTTGTGGTTTTTAAATACACGTATACTAACAGGCTGCCTTTCTCCCATGCTTCACTGAAGTGAGTCTGCATGCCGATTCTATACTCAGCAGATGAAGGGGAAACAGCTAGCAATTAAGAAAATGAATGAAATCCAGAAAAATATTGATGGTTGGGAGGGTAAGGACATTGGACAATGCTGTAACGAGTTCATCATGGAAGGAACACTCACGCGCGTAGGAGCAAAGCACGAGAGACACATATTTCTATTTGATGGCTTGATGATTTGCTGTAAGTCAAATCACGGCCAGCCAAGACTTCCTGGTGCTAGCAATGCAGAATATCGTCTAAAAGAAAAGTTCTTCATGCGAAAGGTACAAATCAACGACAAAGACGACACTAATGAGTACAGACATGCTTTTGAAATCATCTTAAAAGATGAGAACAGTGTTATTTTTGCTGCTAAATCAGCTGAAGAGAAAAACAACTGGATGGCAGCATTGATATCTTTGCAATATAGAAGCACACTGGAAAGGATGTTGGATGTAACAATGTTGCAGGAAGAAAAAGAAGAGCAGATGAGATTTCCAAATCCTGAGCTTTATAGATTTGCAGAACCCGACTCTGAAGAGAATATTGTGTTTGAAGAAAACATGCAGCCTAAATCTGGAATCCCCATCATCAAGGCAGGAACTGTTGTCAAGCTCATTGAGAGGCTGACTTACCACATGTATGCAGGTGAGGCGTTTCATTTATTATGATATAGCCAAAACTCAAGGTCATGACTGGTTTATGCTGCTCT